TCAAAACCGAAAATATGAAGTTAAAGCATGACAAAGAAGAAGTTGAAACCGAGAATATAAAGTTAAAACAGGATTTATATGAATTTAAAAAAGAACTAGAGACTAAGAAAAATCGTAAATTTCAGGAAAAATATATCCTAATAGCTCAAGTATTACTTGGGGAAAAGCCGATAATTGAGTATCATCCTTCCTACTTGAATGGGTTGGAACTTGATGCCTTCTTCCAAAAATACCGAATTGCATTAGAAATACAAGGGAATCAGCATCGGTTTCATAGCACTAGCTGGTATAAAGATATCAAAAAACTTGAGGATGTTGTAAATCATGATTGGTTAAAAAGATACATATGTCAAGATAATAGAATTTTTCTCCTTGAAGTATGGTACAATGAAAAGCCAGTAATTGTCATTCTTAAAAGAATACAAAAAATTAAGTTCATTAATCAAGCACCCAAAAGCTTCGACCTATAATCAAATAATTTACAATACATATCGCAGATAAGTGTTTAATATATACGTTGTAATATCAGAATTCAATCCAAATATAACAACCATAAATCATTTTTTCTGCGATTATGGGGTTACCAAAAAATAGATAGTTAATTCAACTCCCTGTATATATCGTGAATTTTTAACAGATCGAGAGAGGCTGGTCGGTGAAGAGTTTTTACGTCGCAGTATTCTAAAGAGTGGTTTAAGTACTGTATGGCTTGACGATCTGATGAAAGAATAGGAAAAAATCCATACTCAATTCATACAAATTTTCAGCCAGTCCTAGCCAAAAAATAAATCACATTTTGCTGTTATATTACGATTTCGATCATGGAAACATTCATAAATTTTTGTTTCCTAACACATCATGGCTATACCTCTATTTATACATATTTAAATCTTGACTAATTTTTCTACCTATTCACACAATCATGATAAAATAAAAAATGGAGCCCCTCTTTATTTCATGCTACACAGAGTGCAAGTCACTTCAAAAATAACATATTTCAAAATAATGGCACTTAGTGCTAGGACCTTGCTTTATTAATATAAAAACTTTACCAAAGTAAAGACATAAAAACAAAAAAAAAATTTTCTATATCAATCAATCTCATCCTGATCATATTTTCCTGATCACTACTATCAGCATTACCATCTCCAAAGTGTATATCATTGTTAAAAAGAGGATCAGGAGAGTCTTCATGCTTATCTTCTATTTCATCAGAATAGTAGTCATTTTCTATTTCATCAGAATAGTAGTCATCTTCAATTTCATTCGAA